AACAGTCCTGCGTTCCCTAAAACCTTCAGCAAAGCAATATTAACACCTGAACAAACAGGTAATGCCTACTTTCTTACTAACATAACAGTTTAATATTATCATAGCCCAGGCCCTGTAGGTTTACAGAGAGTGTTTTTAAAGACTGATGATGATTCAATCTGGAGTAGAAATCAGGAGATTCTAGTCCTCCCTTAGGCACGGAAGCCAGCTGGGTGACCTTGGGTCCAGTCATTCCCTCTCAGCCTTAATCAGCATCAGGTTCTGCCACAAATTAATATATAAAGAAAAGCCATCGTGGATTGCTAGATTTGCTGTAAAAGCTAAGTAAGTGCAGTGCAAATAATAATAATAATACATGTTCCTGCAACCATGTGAGACAAATGCTAAGAAAAACAATATTAAGTCATCTGTTCCTTGTTGAGGAAATGCAGGTAATGTCAGCACCTGATAAAAATTCAGATGTCTGGCAACTGACTCACATTTATGACCGTTGCTGTGTCCCAGGGTCACGTGATCACCTTTGGCAACCTTCTGACAAGCAAAGTCAATAGGGAAACCAGATTCACTTAACAACCAGTTTTCTAACTTATCAACTGCCATGATTCAATTGACAACTGTGGCAAGAAAGAACGTAAATTGGGGCAAAACTCACTTAACAAATGTCTCACTTAACAACAGAAATTTTGGGCTCAACTGTGGTTGTAAGTTGGAGACTACCTGTACTGGGTCCTTGTGCCTCGTATAGATCCTTAGTTCTGATTGGTCAAGCTGGAGTTGGGGACTGGACAAGGAGTAGAAAGGCCCAGTTTACCCTATCCAGATTCTTGCAGAGTAGCGCTGCAAAATTTAGTACTTATTTAAATGCACAGACTGGAAGTAGAACGGAGCTGTCCTCTTCTCTAATGCCATGTGCCATATATGCCTTTTCTGTGAAGTCCATATATCCCAAATAAATTCTGAGAAAGCAACTTGTTTTACATAACTATACGTGTAGAACCTCAAAATTCCATATAGAATATGGGAAGTAGAGAATTAGCTACCCTCATCATTAACCTTCACAAGAGTCACGGCTCATTAACACATGGGAAGAGGAAAATTAGCTCCCTTAATCTCCTGCTGTAAGATAGTGGTCTATTAAATGCAACTTGGTCCTCTGGGTTTGAGACATCCTTCCTGAAGTACAGCAAAAGACTCAATATGGTAATCTGTGAGAATTTCCCCTTCATTATTTTATTTGCGATGGTATGTTTTCAAAAGAAGATTCTTCCACTTTCTTCTTTCCCCTGCTCTTTTCCGTATCATTTGAAGGGTCCTCTGAGAATTTTACTTGCAAATACAACTGTTATTTGTGCATTTCACTGAATAATGAGACATGATGCCTCCCTACTCTCATGCCCTACAATTATGTGGGATTGTCATTGTTACAATCTTCAGCCAGCCTGTATAAGCTATATAAAATGCATGCTTCCTTGAAATCCAGTATTTGAGAACTGCCAGTTTGGGGAAATTTGAAGTATGATCACCCAGTAACATTTTGGATAGATTGCTAAAATCTCATCAGATATGAACATAGGTTAGGACATCCTATGGAAGCAATACAGGTAGTCCTTGACTTACAACAGTTCATTTATAGTTATTTTCTGTACTCTTCTGAACTTGCAAACAAATTCACCTGCTTTAAGAATTTTCATGAATCAATTCAAAGCAGCAGCATCTTTTTTCAGGTTTGTTCAAGAGGATCTATTTAATGAATAACATAAAATAGTGGTGCTCAGGTGTGGTACAAGCACATTCCTAATCATCTGCAAAGTATGCACATCCTTAGATGGCAGGGTATGTGTGTTTGTACACTTTCATTGAGTCTTTCTTCCAAATAGATATTTATGATGTTGGGAAGATGTGGACATAATGTATATAGCAGTATATAACTGTATATATACTGTATATTCTTAATTTATTAATTTATGAGTTAGTGCTGTTATCTTTATGAAATGTTTATGGATTTAATGTTTTTCAATAGATTGCATTTCTAGAAGCTCCCCTCTTAGTCCCCAGTCATCTCTGGACAGTGAATTGAGCACTCCAGAATTAGAAGATGATTCCATTTCCATGGGGTATAAACTACAAGACCTCACAGATGTCCAGATCATGGCTCGGTTACAAGAAGAAAGTAGGTTGAAATTTTTATTTTCCTTCTTCTAAATAGGTTTTTTGGGGGGTTGTTTGTTTTGTTTTGTTTTGCTTTCTGACTAGGGAAAAAAGGCTTGATCTTTGCAAAACAATATGATTTTGCAGAATATGAGTTTTAAAAATTATCTAATTAAAATTTGAGAATGTGTTACAGTACTTTGGTTTTCAAGGGAAAATGGTGTTTGCGTACTACTTCTCTAACTCCTTAAAACATCTGCATATTTTCACAAAATTGTATTGCTTCTCTTATGACTGGTGGGTTCTCTGGAAAATAGGTGTGAAATTCAAGGAGTTGGATACTAGTTGTCATGGTTCCGACAGATAGAGACATATAAAGCAGAACTCCGAGGCTTGGAAATTCCTCAAAGAACATGTTTATTAGTTACAAAGTATCGGCATGATCAAAAGTGAAACCAAGTCTGAAATTCCCACTAAAAATTTCCCAGTTACAAAGTATAATATCCCACCCACAAATCTATGCCATCACTATGTTCCCCAATATATTCATTTGGCAGGCTTTCTTATACAATGCCTCTGATCGCGGGAGCAGTAAATGACCTTGGTTCCCATGGGACAGAAGATTATTTTGACTAGTGAAGCACCTGGGCAAGCCCCCCTCCCTCCGTTCTATGTGGCAACCTAGAATGAAGAGAAAGATGGCTGCAGCCAAGTTCATTGTAGAGTTGACACTGGTACTGTATATACACAGTCATAAATTTCCCATTTGCCTTTGCATATGAACTACTTCACAGCCTTAAAAATGACATCTATTGTAAGAGACTGGGGTTCTGGAAAAGGAATGGAACAGAGAGTGAATATAAATAATCAAGATTTGGCAGGAAAATCAGTTCATAGCTTATCTCATTAAATGACAACCCGAAGTGGGTCAGCTGCCACCTCAATTCGCTTGTGCTTCGATGCCAAGCGGTGACAGTCTGCCATGGACTCTGGGGAGGGTAGATGGAAGCCAAATGGGACAACTCACCATGGCCAACTTATTGCAAGCCAACTTGCCATGGCCAACTCGCCACAGCCAACTCACCATGGCCCACTCGCCATGGCCAGCTCGCCGCAGGACAATTCACCAAGGGACAATTTAACGATTCAATTTAATTTTTAAAATAAATAAAAATTATTTTAATTTTTGTCATTCACAATTTGTTTTATCTCTCCTTTTGTATTCTTTATTTAATGAGTCTATTCCACCATTTCTTTGATATTCGTGTATCTCTTGCCATCCAACAAGTTGTCCCACATTGAGTTGGCCATGGCAGATTCTTCTGTGGTAAGTTGACAGTGGTGAGTTGGTTGTGATGAGTTGGCCATGGCAAATTGTTCCGTGGTGAGTTGGCTGTGGCAAATTGTCATATACCTGGATGGGAGGGGGGATGCTTGGGGGGAAAGCGAAAGTAACTGCTGCTTGGGGAAAACGAGAGTAATTGCTGTATCTCCCCAGAATGCTGCTTCAAGGTCACCCAGCTGGGAGAAGAACACAGCCTACGCTTGAAGTGACCGTTCCGAAAACATCTTGCTTGAATCTGATTGGTCATAGAGGGATCAGTGATCGGAGGCAGTTTAATGGAGGGAAAAGTTGAACTTAGGGATTTTGGTGCACAATTCTCAGTTCTGGCTATGCACTACTGCAATGCACTTGACTTCTAATAAAACTATACCTTTCTCAACAAACAGAGCCAAGAATCGTTTCTATTTAGAGGTTTATGTTTACGGCAGATCTGACAAAGTGTTTCAAAGACAGATTGTCTTAATGAACTCGGTATAAGTAAGGGTGGGAAATTTCCTCTTATGGTTTCCAGGAGAATGTATTTACCCAGACTCATATTAAAGAAACCTTACTGAAAACTGTGTAATTCTTGCTTCTTTGATCTTGGTTTGTCTGGCAAGATTAAAATAATAATGCAATTATATTTATATTATTAGTAGAAGTACGATTTTTACCATTTTGTATTTTGGATCTTGTTTTCCTTTACAGGCCTGAGGCAAGACTATGCTTCAACTTCAACATCAGTGTCAAGAAACAGTTCCAGTGTATCTCTTCCTTTGATCAAAAAAGGGACCAGTGGTGATCAGGAATTTGATCGTTATAGCCTTGAAGATGAGGAAGAAGAATTTGACCACTTGCCCCCTCCACAGCCTCGGCTCACACGTTGCTCTCCTTTCCAAAAAGGAATTCCCCATTCCCAAACTTTCTCCAATATACGGGACTGTAGGAGGAGCCCAATTTCCCCATATTTTCCCTACAGTAATAACAATCAACAGCAGCCATTTTGTTCTCCTCAACCCCCAAATCTTCTGGAGTCTCAATCAACCAGAATTAATGGAGGTAAGAGTGGCCGCCTTGTGTAACCTGAGTTTTTCATGACATCAGTTTACATCTGATCGTGAACAGACTATCATACTAGTGGGCTGTTGTTTTTTTGATAACATATCTTAAAATAATTCATAAAGGCTTAATATTCTGGAAGTAGTTTCCTTCTTTCCATATATATAAAACCCATTCTTCATATTTCTTTTTTTATTTCCCCACACAAGCTCACATTTTCTCTTCCATAAGAAGAGTATTCCTGTGTTTAGCAGTATGGATTTTGTTGTTTCAAATGGAGCTTTTGCAACCCTGGCACTCCCAGCCATTACAGTCATCCTAACAGGGATGGGAGTCATAATCTAATATAGTTGGAAGGTATTAAGTAAGGAAGGCTAATTTAAATGACGGATCAAAATCCATGCATCTCAGTAAACTGCTTTTCTTGTTGGGGTGACCCTGAGTAATAGATGCTGCTGGCTCGTTGATTTTTTTTTTGTTTTGCATTAAAAATCTTAATTATAGTGAATCTGTCATCATTTCTTTATTTTGGGGGAAAGATAACATTCTTTTAATATATACCGGGGAGTGCTGCAGAAGAAGTGGGCCAGCGCAGCGAGGCAGGTGTCAATTCATGGGAGGCCTGGCTGCAACGGTAAGCGGGTGCAGGGCGCATGGGGCAGCTCCACCCCTCCACCCCTTCCCTAGCTTGTGTTCGCCTCACCCCAAAACTAGGGTTTATTTTTGGGGTAGAGTTTATATTAGGCCCACCCCCCAAAATCAAGCTAAGGCTTATTTTCAGGGTAGGTCTTACTTTCGGGGAAACATGGTATATTACAGTTTTTGAATACACCTGGCAAATATGTCAGAAGTACTGACAATAGGTATGTAAATTATAGCTAGCTGTAATTTGAACTATTTTATTTGATGTTCTGAGAGGTTATTGCTTATTTATACGCAGGATATATATCATTTTGTCTTCCATCAGGTCCATACAGCTTGAAACCTGCTAAATCTGTTCACCTCATATTGTGACTGTTTTTGGACTGCAGCAGAACTAAAGTCCTTTAAGTTGATAGGGCAAAAAGCATGACTCTTGAATACATCTGACTTGGTTGGTTGGCACAAATTTAATTTTCAAAGTTGGGATGGCACAAAAAGTGAGGTAGAGGGTAATACATAACATTTTCTACCATTCTTCCAATCAAGCAAGTTAGGACTAGAAGGGAGAGGAAATATGAAGTAAGGAAGGTTGAGGATGGTTGGGACTGAATTGAACTAGCTTCAACTGGCGAAGATTTTCTGAACTGAAAACTTTCAGAGCCACATGGTACAAATCTCTCCTGTTTCTTTTTTGGAATATTACAATCACTATTATTCCCATCCCAGAAATGGGATTCTAGTATGAAAAGAATATTGTTGGAATTTTCTAAGGTAATGTTATTGCCATAGGAATTGGCATGGCACAATCAAAGGAGATAAGATTTTGCCATTATTAGCTTGCTTGACCAGATGCATCCTTCTATAAATCCCACATCAATTGGTCCTTTTGACTTGATCCGAAAGAACTTTCTCTTTGAAATTCATGCTTGATGTCTTACTTTTGCTGCAGACAAACTCCGAAGAAGCATGCCTAATTTAGCTCGAATGCCAAGTACCCTTACTGTCAATACAAACAACAGCCCTGCCGGTTCTGTGAGGAACAGCCTAAGTTTTGATTCTAACTTGCATGGAGCCAGTAACGGGGTATCCAGAATGCAGTCTTGCAGTAAGTATGTGAATGTTCATGTTCTTTTTATTTATTGAAAGCTGTTTGATTGCCATTATTTCCTAATCTTGGATCTTTTAATCCAATAGTCCTACAGCTGCTGTGGCAAATCATTAGGACTGATAGAAAGAACCAAGGCCCCAGATTTCAGAGAGAAAAAAACTAGAATATTTTACATTCTTGCTTCAGGTAGTTTTTTTCTTTTCAGGATCACTTTAAGTTTATATATGTTGCTTTCAAAAAAATTGCAGGTTAATATGACTTTTTTCCCCTCCCTCCCTTCTTGAGGAACTGTTTCCTCAGAGCAGTTGATTCATTATCAGGAACAAAGGGTAGCGTTTGTCTCCCAGGGTGTCAGGGTGACCGAAGTCCCCCTACAGTGTTATATTTCTTGCACATCTTATTTAGCTGATTAGCAAAATGTTCTGTTTTCTCTGCTTGGTTGGGTGGCCTATAGCAGTCATGGCGAACCTTTTAGAGACCGAGTGCCCAAACTGCAACCCAAAACCCACTTATGCATCGTTGAGTGCCGGGTGAGTGTGGCCCATTGGGTGGGTGTGGCCCATTGGCTGGACATGGCTGCGGTGGTAATGGCAGACTGGATGGGACTAAAAAGTTCAATCAATCAATTCTAACTTTGCAAGATCTTTTTTTTCCCTGCAGGAAGTTGAAATTGACTGATTGATTGAACCTCTTTTTTTTGTACACGGTGGCAGAGACCTAAAGCGAAAAGGTTTTATAAAACCCAGCTGAAGGCCTAGGACTGGGGCAACGGCGCGCGTGCCCACAGAGAGGCCTCTGAGTGCCGCCTCTGGCACCCGTGCCATAGGTTCGCCACCACTGGCCTATAGCAATATCATTTCTTTTTCCTCTTATATTCACCCAAATGCATTCAAGAGGGCTTTCATTCTTGGTATCATGTATTTCTATAGAGATAGAGTGATTGCTTACATACAATGTGTGTAAGTACCTCTTCTTTTGTTGGGTGTGTTTGAACAATTTATATCCTTCTGGCAGCATGTTCCAATCATAGATTCCAACCCACCAAATTTCTGTAATGACAACAATATCATACCTGCCCTCATTTATACCTGCCCTCATGCCCTCAGGTTCTCCGGTTTGTTCCCCAAAACTCTGAGCATTAACGTGTAGGCATCTGAGCTGTTTACGGCTGACCCTGTACTTGCTTCTTACCTCTTCTGTTTTATATCTGAATTCTCCTTCCTTCTCGCCACTTCCTTTCTCATCGTCTAATTTGTTTTCTTGGGGTTTGGTCTTAAAGATTGGCCACCCTCTCTTTCCCTTTTTAGTTTAAAAACCTTCAGATGAGCCTGAGTAGTTGTTTTCCAGTCTATGTGAGGTACAGCCCATCTCTTGCAAGAAGCTCTTCTTGTAGGTAATATAAACCATAGTCTAGAAATGCAAAGTTCTGTTAATGGCGCCATCCCGTGAGACAGAATCCTTGGCTCCCTTGTTTGATATTGATCTATCGTTGGCAGTATGGAAGAGAAGACTATCTGTATCCTGTATTGTTTCCTGTTTAGTTCCTCATAGTTGTGAACTGTGGTGGTGCAGTGGTTAAAATGCAGTATCGCAGGCTAATTCTGCAGTTCAAGTCTCACCGGCTCAAGGTTGACTCAGCCTTCCATCCTTCTGAGGTCGGTAAAATGAGGACCCAGTTTGTTGGGGGTAATTTGCTGACTCTAAACCCCTTAGAGAGGGCTATAAAGCACTGTGAAGCAATATATAAGTCTAAGTGCTATTGCTATAGTTCCGAGATATTATTTCCAGGCATTTGATTGTATCATTCATCCCAACATGAAAGAGGAGAAAGGGATAATAATTGGTGGGCTTGATTATTTTGTAAGCCTCTCTGACACATCTTTGATCTTAGCCTCAGGGATCCAACTTACTTCCCTTAATTCCCTACTAGTTATTTGGTATACAGATTGAAGATTCTGTTCCTCTGTTCCTAGGCAGTCATTAAGAGTTAAACTTAAATTAATCCCTGATGGTGCAATGATTAGAATGCAGTACTGAAGGCTAATTTTGCCAACTGCCAGCAGTTCAAGTCTCACCGGCTCAAGGTTGACTCAGCCTTCCATCTTTCTGAGGTCGATAAAATGAGGATCCAGATTGTTGGGGGGCAATATGCTGACTCGGTAAACCACTTGGGGCTGTAAAGCACTGTGAAGCGGTATATACGTCTAAGTGCTACTGCTATTGCTACTAAATTGAGAGAAACTTTACTTTGAAGGTTTATATTCAGGAAAATGGTTTAATGGAAATTATTTGGATCTCATTTTAAATGTACTTTTATTTTCTGTCACTAAAAATAGGATTCCAAAAAAATACCCAACGAAAGGATTTTTCTATTTTCTTTCTATGAATTTATTATTAACATAGTTGTAAAATTTCCCATCGCAGGAAGACTTTATCTCCAGGAGACAACGATCCAGCAAGATTGCAAAGAATGACGATTGTAGGACTTAGCACTTCGAGTGCATACAAATTCATTCCAGATTCAGTATTTTTTTTATCATTATTTAAAGGATGCTAGGAGGTTTTCTGCTTCCAACTTTCAAGTTGTTTGGCATGATTTGGATAAGAAAATATTTCAATCCAATGCTGTTGTTAAGTACCATCTCTTCACTTTTTCTCCTCTGTGAGGGTTTTAAAATATTTCCCCAAACTCATAAGTATCTGCAGTTACCAAAAGATGACTCGTACAGTGTCATTATGACACAAAGCTCACCCTTAAGTATTTGCATCACAACTTGTTTTTCGGTTGACAGGCTTTGATACAGTATACTGTATGTTTTGTCATCTGCTCCCCTTTCCTTCCGCATGGATATACATGCCTGGATTACATTTATTTATATTTATTTATTTATTTATTTTATTTATATTTAAACTTCTATGCCGCCCTTCTCCCCAGAGGGACTCAGGGCGGCTCACAGCATGTTAAAAAACAACACAAAAAACATTTCCCCTATAAAACCAATTAAAAAGCAAATATATTAATAGCTGTGTCATATTTAAAATCTTTGAAAATTTTTAAAAATTATTCCCTATTTA